CCTTAATAAGACTAAAGCCTCCCAGTATTCTAGATTCATGCTTGTAGCATTTTCTTCTACAGTGATTCGATTTAAATCAAAAGCTGAGGTTATTTTCTGGGTTGGGGCAGTCTAATATAGTAGGAGGTTATTTTCTGGGTTGGGGCAGTCTAATATAGTAGTGCAAACCCGAAGAAGCTGTAGTTGTGTTCCTAAGCTTTTCACCATTTTAGTGAAGAGGAGAATGTTTAAATAAAGCCTCTAGTTCTGCTCTGCTGTTAGGTTGAGAGAGAAAGTATCGGTCCTTTCTAGTAAGGTTTTTGTGTTTTCTGGTCAGGAGGATCTAACAAAACTTGATGTGAAGCCAAGCAAGGACCTGGGAATCAGTGATTTCTCAGCCCTGTCGTTACCACAAGCACTGCTTGAAGAAAAGAATCAAGAAATTGATCATTTGAATGAGCAGATGAAGAGACTTCAGCATGAACTGCAGAATGCTCTGGAGAATAAAGTAAGAGTGCTTACTGTATGTTCATTGCTTGATTTTTAGGGGAATCAAGGTGTGCAGATTGTTATTGTAAATGAAATCTGTTGGATAATTCTCTCAGGAAAGTAGAGATTATTCTGAGAAATTACCAGCTGAAATGTATGGTTCTTCCTGCTGTTAAATGTGTGATTTAATGCCTGTGTGATTCAGAAGAGAAATATAAACTCTGTGTGCAATAATAATTGCCTACATAGAGTAGCATTCAGTCCTTATCCTTTTGCTTAGATTGCAGAAGACCAAAAGCCTGAAATTGAAGAACTGAGATCACTGGTTGAGCACCTTCGCCTTGACCAGGAGAGGCTGCGTAAGGACAAGGATGAAGAGGTGGAGCAACTCCATGAAGTAATTGAAAAGCTTCATAAAGAGTTGGCACAATTTGGACCAGTATGTCATGAAGATAGTGACAACCAGGTTTATTTCTATGAAGTTCCATTGGAAAAGTCAGTGGAAAACCTTCAGAATGAGTTGAAGGGACTGGTAGCTTGTCAAGGTGATGCTGATCCAAACAGAAGAAACGAATCAGTACTCTGCAAAGTGAGAGAACTTCAGGAGGAACTGGAGCTTGTCTCAGCTTCTAAAGAAGCTCTGCAGCAGCAACTGGAAAAAACGGAATTGCAGCTCAAAACAGAAGTGGAAATTTTGGAGAAAAAATGCCAACAGTTGCAAGAGTCATCAGAGCAGTCTGTTGCAGAGCTCACCTCCCTAAGAATCCAGCACCAGGCACTTCAGGAAGCATACAGTGTTTCCCAAACTCTCTTGTCTCAGAAAGAGGCTGAGATAAAGATGATTACATCTCGAGTTCAAGAACTTGAAGATAAGGTGAGAGAAAGGGAAGCAGATATTCTAGAGAAAGAGATGCAAATTAAGACAATGGCAGATCAAAGAGAAGCTGATGTAACTGAGCTGCAATACTTAACAGAAAAGGCAGGAGAGCTCCAAACAGAGCTGGAAAAGAGAGGTGCGAGTCAGGCACAAGATGTTTACAGTCTTCAGTTAGAAGTTTCTAGACTTGATTTCCAGGTGCAAGGACTGAATCAGAAAGAAGTAGCCCATCTGAAAGAAATCAAGGAACTGCAAGGGAGCACTGCACAACTGAAAGATGAAATCAAAGCCCATATGAAAGAGCTCGAAGCCTTACGATTGGAAAGAGCTGAAGTTCTTTCACAGTTGGAGTCTTCCAAGCTGGCAGAGCAAGTAGGTCATGAAGAGACTAAATTTCTCAATCCATTGTGCCAGAGTAAAAGAAAAGATGTAGCCTTTAAAAATGGAAGGCAGGAATTAGAAACAAATATTGATCAGTCATTTGGAGTATTGGCTTTCCCTACTGCTAAACTGGTACATTATTTGATTTTTAATAGTATTATTTGTTGTAGAGATTTTTTTTAGAATAATCTATTTCTAGATTAATAGATTAAATACATTTTCCCCATTTTACTCTATTTTGCCTGTGAGAGTAGTTAGTAGGTGATATCCCTTCTTTCTTTTCCATCTGTAAGCTCTTCCCATCTCATTTTTTTTCCTCCTGATCTATTGAGGATGGAGAGTGAGAGGGTGGGCATCTGCAAGCTGAACAATGAGCTCACTGTGAGCTACCAAGACTGTTTGCAATTCTTCATGCCTGTATTGGAGAACTACTAGAAAATACTTCATCATGTCTCCTTCTCTTTTCAGAAATCCTTTTTTACTGTAACTCCTTCTTGTAATTATTCTGAATCTTTTCTAGAACCATTTGCTCCAACTAACCTAATCTTCTTAAATCACTCAATTTTAGAAAGCAGTAGGACCCAGGGGACCCTGTTTTCAGGGAGCTGTAGAAATCTGTCATACACCAAGTTACTGTCTTTAAAGGCTGGCTTACAGAGGTGATAAGTGCTAGTTAAGAGGGCTTATATGAAGTATTTGAGTATACAGGAAAGGAGAAACATTCAGTGTCAGATTATGTGGATTTTTCAGGGCCCTGCTTGGCAGTATGTTATAATAATCATCCAAGGTAGATGACTTATTTAAAGAAATGATAGGATAATTGTTATGTGAAATGACATGTTTATTTTTAAAGCAGAAATGGAGAGTGTAGCTATGCAAAACATGTGTGATCATTGCTGGTGTTTATATTTTTATTTGCCTGGAAGTTCAAGTGTGGAGCAGTGCCATCAGTGCCTGGGTGACACTATACATTCAGGGTCTGCCCCAGAAACCTCTCAGGAAAAGGAAATAGGTAGGAAAAGTGTTAAATGGCCCATGCAGATTGATGTACTTCAGACCATGGAATGTGTCTGTACAAGGCAGCAGATTTCCAGACCAGTAACTACTGGATCATGTTGTTTATACAGGTAGGGATTGTCAGATCCCTGTTCGAAAAACAGAAGTAATTTAGGATCCAGTGAAGAGAAAGTTGATAACATTTTGAAGGATATCAGGGAATGCTAGCATGCTGGGGGCAGTTAAATGATTTAATAATCACTTTTCAAGTAGAAATTCAGCCTCTGAAAGGTTTAAATTGATATTTATATGTCATTATATATATTTCCGTATTTAAGTGCTAAAAGTTTTTAGGAAACTGCGGAAAGATAATTACCAAAATTGAAGAATATGTTGAATCAAAGTAAAGAAACACCATGTCTTCAGGCATTCATTACTATAGACTTTTACTAGGGATCTAGCTCATCCTAGTACTAGAAAATGTATGATACAGTATTCTTAAAGGAGCAAAGAATCCCTCCTGCAGTTATGCTTGGGTTCCAAAGTGGAAACAATGTGAAAATCAGGAAATGTATTAAAATGAAAGCTGAAGGAGCAGTAAAAAGAGTTAAATCCTGGCAGCTAGTACTAGGCTTAAAACAGATGATTAAGTGGGATAATTAACACAAAATGATTAAGATGATGGTCTAAAATGAGAGGGATAACAATTATTCACTGTATCTGACAACAGGTATGGAGGATGAAACAAAATTTCCATGCTGACAGGTTTTAAAATAAACTAAAAAGGGCATTATTTAGACTCAGTCACAGAATCAGAGGTTAAAAGAGTAATTTTAGCTTAAAATTACTTAGATAAAGTGATTGAAGGAAAAATCAATCAATTCTATAAGGTCTTTAAGTGCATGTTTCTCAGTTAGTAAAATCATACTCAAATTCCATTAAAAAATTAATATGTGTTATTTCATTGTAGGAAAAAGATGAAGTTATGTTTGACTTGACAATTGACAACAAAAATCCAAAAATGCAGATTAAACAATCACAAGAAAATATCTTGTGCCAGGAGTTGGACATGATCTGCAGTTCAGAAGGGGATCAAGATTTGAAAAAGCATTGCCAGCAAGTGTTGGCAATTCATCAAACTCCTGATTCACCAAAACACAATTTGAACACAGACAAAGAGACTCCAAAAAATTTCCAGAATTTAATTGCAAGTATGTCTTCATGGGGCTCGCCTGAGATCATGAGAAAACAAGATATAAGCATGGAACTTCAGCCAGTGCTTCAGCTGACACCCTTCTCAGAAGCTGAAAACACAGATTTTCAAATCGTACACACAAGGTCATCCCTGCAAGGAGATAATTCCATATCACTGGGATATTCTAACCTGGATGAAAATGGCAGTGGGGATGCAGCAGTGGGAGCAGATAGAAAATCCCCAGCTTTCTCTGAAAGTACCTATTCTGTTGATGATGATGAAGATATGGTGAAGTTTCTGGTAAGTGATATTTCATGTCTGATTTAATTCTTATTAAACAAGACTCCTCAGCCCTGTTCCCTTGTGATCATTGAGGGGCCACGGGCTCCAAGTAGTAGAAACCTACACAATGCTGGGAGTAGGTCCAGTGAAGTTCTGGATATACAATTATTAGTTTCTCTCTTACTGTGATAATAACTGATAAATTTGTGATAACACTTAATGTGTCAGTAATTGAGCTAAACCTGTAAAACCTTTGCTACCACAGTACTCAGTGCACTATAACAGCTCCCCACTTCAACAATCTGAAGAGGCTCTTTCAAAACTAGAGAATTGAGGCTTTTCCTTTTAATGGCAATATTTTATATATTGTCTGTGTTCTGTAATTTCACTGGAAGATAAAGTCTGTACTTAAGAAAATTCATCTTTGGCTGTATGTTTTTTTGCCTTGCTTTGATGGGTAGTTAAATATAAATATATGTATCTTAAGACTATTAAAAGAGGAAAAAGTTGAGATGGAATGGCTTCCAGAGAGCACCAAGGTTGCACTAATCATGGTATTTGCCATCTCTAACACTTGGATCAAGTAGGCATTTGCTAAAATTCACACTATTAAAAAAGTTGTTATAAATGCAGAAACCAACAGCTACATTCAGAAAACCAAAGTAACATGAAAAAATTATTCTCAAGCAGATGAGAGAAGCTGATAATCTGACTTTAACCCCTTCTGATATACAAGATGATGAAAGATCAAGAGCATCTGTGATGAGCGATGGGTGTGGCAGCAGTAAGTTGAACTTTGTAGATTATTTTTATCTTTTGTTAACTTCAGTATTGAAACATGTATTAATATGTTTCTCCCATTTTCTTTTACTTGGGTGAAACGTGGGTCTTTTATTGGAAAGTTATGCCTTAGGCTGGTGGTTTTTTATTTAGAAACATACGTATATATGTATATTGTGCATGCTTTTACCTTTTCATGTACATACAAGACAGAGGCAGGGGTTTAAGTGAGTCCTGACTTAACTCCAACACTTTTCTCTGGTTCTAAAGGCAACTTAATGATTTTTAACTTGTTTAAGTTAGTTAAGATCTCAACCAACCAACCCAATGTGACCCTGCATTCATATAAACAGAAGAAATCATGATTATTTTTCAAGTGGTGGTTCTAGTTTGAAGTTCTTTCCAAATTTATAACACTTTGTGGGGATGGGGGGTTGTTTCTTCCTTCAGATACCAGCTCAAATTTGGCAGCTAATCTAAAGCAGGAGCTACAAAGGTCAGATCACCTAGATGCCAATGTCATGGCTTATCTGCGATACCGGGAGATGATTCCAGATATTATGGAATCAATGAAAGAAAAGGAAATACTTTCACCAGAGATGAAGGTAATGTATGATTAATATGAGCATACCAGCAAATTAAAACTGGACAGCAAAAACAAAATGGTAATCTAAAGTAGCTGCTACATTTACACTGAAAACTGTTCTGTAATGGTTTAAACTTCAAGTTGATTATGATTCTTGTCTCTGCATCTCTTGTGACAATATTATTGATATTTGCTTGTACTTGCTAGAATTGAACTAGTTTTTCTAGGACAGCACTGGTGCTGTTTCAGAACGTGGGGGTACAAGGACTGATTATTCTGCTTTATGCTTTTGCCTTGGAGGCTTCAGAGAAGCTTATTTCAGAGGTAACCATAGCTGACTGACATGTTGCTCCTCTGCCTTTCTTGTCATCCTGATGTGATGAAGAGCTGTGGAAACACCATTGCAAGGTGTGCAGGGATAGGTCAGAGTCCAGTCAAGCAGCATGAGGAATAAACAGAAGACTGAGCAGGGAGTACTCACTCTAGTTAGTAAGGAAAGTTGAAGTATATGCCTAGAACTCTTTGGTTTGCTGAGCAAGCTCTCCATTTCAAAAATTCCAGCTACAGAAAGGGAGAGATTCTCATCTATAAGAGAATACAGAAGGTTACAGTGAGTTCTCAAGTAATAAGAAGCTAGAAGAAATACCCTTCCTAGAAAGTGAATCCTGTCTCCTGGCATGCTTAGCAGGTTCCTTCAGCTTGCTCAGCACAATGGAGGAAGACTTGTGCAAGAAGGTAAGCCTGAATTCAAACTCACTCAAGCCAGCTGGCACAGGTGAAGGAGACTGGGCCTTTATCACTGCTCATGTGAAGGAAGCTCTCTCCCCCATCTATCTGCCCTTGGGAGACATGATGCTCTAGGGTTGGAGACTGAAGAACACATGTAATAACCGATGTGATGCAGGAAAAGCCAAACGTGCAAAGCTGATGAAATCATCTGCCAGCATTAGAACCAGTGCTACCAGAAAAGTACATCAGGTGTTAGTAATTGGAGATTCCTTACTGAGAGGCACTGAAGCACCTTCTTGCCATCGAGATACTTTCTCTAGAGAAGTTTGTTGCTTACCAGCAGCTTGTATTTGTGCTATCATTGAGGCTGCCAAATTGACTGAGCCCTACAGGTTGTCACCTGTGTAGGGTCTAACAGCACTGTAACAGGACAGTTCAAAGGTTCAGGAGCATGGGTGATGTCCTCTATCCTCTCAGTCAGAGGATGGGGACCAGGATAGAGGTGAATCCATGGCTGTGCAGCTGGTGCAGTACTCAAGGTTTTCATTTTTATTATCATGGATTTACCTTTGAGAAGCCAGAAATGTTGGGAGCTCATGGAATTCACCAACCAAGTAGGACTAGAGTGTCTCCACCAGTAAGCTGGCCAAACCTATAAGGGAAGCTTTAAATTGGATGAGGAAGGGACTGGAGGAATGAAGTATCTCCTATTGTAAGAGAAGATCAGATTCAAGACCACCAGAGGAACCTGGACATAGTTAATTCCATGGGATCCAAAGACATGGATCCCAGGGTTCTGAGGAAATTTTGCAGTTGTAATTGCCAAGCCACTCTCCATAATTTTTGAAAAGTCACAGCAGTCAGATAAAGTCCCTCCCTAATGGCTGGAGAAAAGAGAAACAAAGCATACTTTTTGAAAAGCTCAATAATGAGCACCCTGGAAACTACTGATCTTTCAGCCTCACCTCACTGCCCAGTAAGATCATGATACAGATTTGGCATGAGTACAAAACTTCTTGTGATGAGATGCTGGCACAGTGAGGTTGTGGACCCCCATTCAATCCATTCAAAACAAGATTGGAGGGGGCTTTGCACAACCTGAAATAATAGAAGATGTTCCCTCTGCCTGTCACAGCAGAGTTGGACTAAATACAGTCTTGAAAGGTCTCTTCCAACTGACAACCATTCTGTGTCTAAAAAAATTCTGTGTCAGAGACTCGTGGAAGAGGTGAATTTTGTTTTACCTTAAGAAACAGATTTTATTTTATTATTGGTTTTGGTTGTTTTGTTTTAGTTTCTTTTGTGGAGTATGAATCTAGACTTTACTGGCTGTAAGATCTGGGTGCATATTCCAGTACTGAACGTTTAGTTTGAACACTTTACTGTGCTTTTAATGTTAATGTTTACTGAAAGTTTTCATTGATTATTGAAGTAATCACTATTTTGATTCCAGTGACAGAAAAACAACTCATGTTTGTTCCAAAGTTACTTTTAAAAAAGTGCAAGGAAAGAATATCAAGAGTTAAATAAAAGTACTCTGTGTTGTTGAAGTGCGTAGCAGTGAAGAACAGCTCCATATGGAGGATGCTGATGAGATGTGTTTAAGAAAGGGATTTAAATCCCCAGTGACCTTCCTTGAAAGGAGGCCCAGAAACATCTGTGCATGATGTAATAGTATGTGAACGGGAAATTTATTTAAAATACATTATTTGGCCTGACAATGTCAGAGGAAACAATTTCCACTCTGTAAATTATTAAAGCTGGTTATTTTAGGAGTTGATATTTGTACATAATTTGCTAAATTAAGCTAAGGTTGTGTAAATACATAACTTAGTTTTCTGGCATCACTGGGGTTTAGTAACATAGCTTCAGACTTGATAGAATTTAATTATTCCACGTAAAGTTAGCTAAATGGTTCAGAAACAAAGGTCAAGTAATAAATAATAATTTCTGCTTAATTGCATCTTAGTGTGTTGATATAGACACCTTACTTTCGTTGTCTAGTACTATCCCATCCTACTCTTACACTGCCAGGATGCTGCTGCCTGTTTCCTGATATTATCTTTTTTTTTATCTTCTCAGACTGTGCTGAAAATGGTGTATGAGGAGAGCCGCAAAATATTGGCTTTGTCAGAGCATCCCTTTCGTTTGAGGGAGCTGAAGAATGTCCCTCAGAGTTTGGAGGGCTGGCAGAAGGAGGGATTATCCCTGCTGGATGCTATCCAGTCACTGAAGGATTACCTCAGCAAGGTGGCAGATAGAGGAGACAAGGTGTGGCTATAAAATAGTCTTTAAGCAAGGGAATCAGCCTGTGTGTGTGTATATATATATATATATATAAATGTGTATTATATATACAATATATTATGAGGCTTATACTATGAGGCTTGTGTGTATGTATATATTTAAGGAATAAGGGATAGTACTCTTTTAACACTTCTAAAAGTGGTTAAATTAACAGATATACTCTTATGGTATGACGGATGCTGGGTTAGAGGCTGAGAGAGATGCCATTAAAAAAAATTCTATTTTAACAGGAAACATCAGGTGTTGGTGCTGACTGGAGAGGAGAACTTCTGCAAGCAGTACAGAGTGTGTTTGAGAAGGAGAGAAATGTGTTGCAAATTGACTTGAGGTCTCACTTCTCCAATCCTGCATCTGGTGACGCAAGTTCACTAGGGGAAAAGCTGGAGTATATAATGAAACAACAAGTATGAAAAGCTCTTAAAGTGTGCTGTTTATAAATCACTTTTTTATTCTGTTACTTTTAATTTTTTTTCAGTTTTATTGCTTCTGTTGTTAAATCTTGTGTATTAATGCAGATGGTGTGGGATCAGTAGCTTTTAGAGTTTCTGTTGTGGTAGCATTTTTCTTGAACTTTGTATATGGTGTTACAAAGCCTATTGGTTATTTTAACTGGCACCAAGAAAGTGATAGTGAATAGGAAATACTTGAATTTTTTCTCTCCTTTCCCATTTGTCTGGAACTTCACAGAGCACTGTGATAGTGAATAGGAAATACTTGAATTTTTTCTCTCCTTTCCCATTTGTCTGGAACTTCACAGAGCACTCTTGCAAAGGGTATATATTGAACTAACTCTGAATCTGGGGGCTTTTTGCCAATAATATTTAGTTTCTAGGTTGTAATTGTTACATGTAAACGCGACAAGGCAAGTGAAGTGAGGGTTTTCTTTTTTACATAACGTTAACATTTTGCATTAATGTGAAGCATGAACTTAGTAATTTGAGTGCTTCTGTACAAAACTTGTACTGTAAGAGTTTCCTTAGTATTTATCCTTGCAGAAGATATGGAAATAGCCTTGTAGTTTGAATAGGCCTTGGTTTGTTTCAGGAGGAGCAGAGGCAGATGGTTGTGGAGCACCTCTTCTCCTCGGACCGGAATAGCCTGCTCTCAGAAATCCAGGACCTCCGAGCCCAGCTCCGCATGACACATCTCCAGAACCAGGAGAAGCTCCAGCAGCTACAGGAAACCCTTACCAAGGCTGAAGATCATGGGAACAAACAGGAACACCAACTTCGGAGGAAAGGTAGTACTTACGGTCTTTGTCAGTTCTTCTTCTACATCAGTTCCTTATTGCCTCAAAGAAGGTGTCTTGGCAAAGAAGCAGATGTTGTACAATTCCTCAGTTTTACTGAATGCACTCAGGTTTCCTGTGATGTTAGTAGTTCTTTATCATATCAGTAGTTAAGACAAATCTATGAAAAGCAAAGAGAAACTGTAAAATAACCCAAAGCAATAGAACTGAAATAGTGTATACATGGAGAAAACCCAGCAAGGACAGTAAACCCTCTGTTTGTTTGTAGAGAATTATTTATCTATATGTTTACTAGTATAGAATCACAGAATCATTTAGGTTGGGTAAGACCTTTAACACTGTGGAGTCCCACGATAAACAGTGCCAAGCCCACTGCTAAACCATGCTCCTGATGAAATAAGCAAGCCTTGGTTTTCACAGCAAATTCCCTTTATGTAATAAAAGAACAAGTGCAGGTGAAAAATTGGTCAAAAATAAACATGTCTCTTCAAAGCAAAACACTGTTTTTTCCTTATTTTTGATTTTTCCTTATTTTTGTTTTTTCCTTATTTTTGTTTTTTCCTTATTTTTGTTTTTTCATCACTATCATTCAGGATTCAGCCATTTAATAGCACATGCACTAGTCCAATGAGGAAAGTTTTCTGGAAATCCAGAAGTTTATTGCTAATTTTATTTACATAATACTGTAGACATAGGTACATTAAATATTTTTACGTACTTATCAAACAGGAACCTCCAAATTTAGGGAGAGTTGTTTCTCTTAACTCGCCTGCCTGAGCAGAGCTGGCAAAACAGGTTCTGTATAGTGATTCCTGTCATAAAATGTTTGTGTAAGTGAATAATTTGTTTAATGAAGTTTTAAAATCCATTAGTGATATTACAGAATATCACAATGATAGAATCATATTGTTTGTGTGTCCTGCTGCTGATTCCTCTCATGTTTGAAAAGAGATTAATTGTTCAGACAAGAACAATTTAATACAGCTGATTTTTTTTTTTCTAATTTGAATTAGTGTAACTGATATCATAATGTCAAGGTCTCTGTAATATAAATAACTGTTACAATTTTTTTTTATCCTAGTTGAATTACTGGAATATAAGCTTCATCAGGAAAAATCTATTGTAAGTGACTTGCACAGCACCCTCTCTGAGGAGCAGAAAAGATCCTCTGAAACATGTGATCTCCTGACTCGAGAAAAAGCATCCCTGAAATCAGAGCTTTCTGGAAGTAAGCAAGAGAATGAAAGGTTGCAGAAATCCCTGGAAGAGCTTCAGAGGGAAATAAATAATTTACGGTGAGAAGTAGATTTATTCATTTACTTGATTTATCAGTAGGTCTGAAAGAGCTTTATACTAAATGGATCCACACAGAGCTTAGCACTTGGAAACACAGGGAGGAAAACTAGGGTCTTTCACTTTTAAGGATTGTTTTCTTTACTAAATTGTCATCTTGGATATGTTCCTTCCCCCCTCCCTTCTTAGTGTGTGCCAATATTTTGCTTTCGTCCCAAAGGACAACAGCTTTCCTCTGCCATGATAAATAACCTATCTCTTAATTGTTACTAAGTCGAGCAATTCTAGCTTGGCTTGCAGGGAAGTAAATGTTTTCAGATGCTGTGACTTGATAACTGACCTTCATTAGAAAGAATAGAGGCCACCTTAAAAAAAACAAATCAATAGAAAGGACTCAAGAGAAACTCAGAGAAACCAACCCAAAACGTCTTGCTTGTGATGTTGGTGAAGGATGTTCTGTTCTGAACATAGAAATGTCATTTTGAACTTTGCAGTGTTGAGTTGGAAAAAAAAGAAAAGGATTTGGCAGCTGCACTAGAAGACTTGCAGGCTGAGCAGCTGAAGGGATCTGAGCTGCGAGGTTGGTTTGAGGAACAGCAGCGTCAGCAGAGGAAAGCAGAGGATGAAAAGACAAAGGCCATAGAGGTAACGCCCAGCTCCCCTGGGGCATGACGTTAACTAGCAGGTTATTTTTGCAGTCTTCTTCACCTCCACTGTTTTTTGTTTAGTAACTGTTAAAACCCCCAAACCTTTTCTGAATGTGCACAGCGTCCCTTTTCAGAGTTAAAGCTTTCAGTTACTTTTATTAATTGCACGTGCAGAAATAAAGCAGGGTTGAGTGCCGTGGTGGTTTGGTTTTTTTCCCACATCTTAGTGGTTTTTCTTTCCCCATTTTCCCCTGTTGTGTACTGCCCCTTGCTGAGTAGGGATAGCCAGATTCTACAGCTGTGTAACTGCACCCTTAATTCTGGAGCAAATTTACCATGGGGGTGTGAGGTGTATGATCTCTGAGATTATAAAGAAAACCACACAAAGACAAATAGGTTTGGCAGAGAGTAAGTGGAGCCTTTTCAATATTATATGTATTTTTGGAAATTAACCAAAGTCGTCCTGTTCCCTTCTAAATTGAACAGAAAACAAGTGAATAGCTTTCTCTCCGAGACTGTAATAGCAATGATTCAGTCCTTGTAAAAGGCCTACAGTGAATGGAAAAGGAGGAAGATTTAACATTTACCATTTCTTTGGAGTTTAACCCCAAAACTAAACTCATCTCCCAACAATCCTACTTAAATTCCCTAAGTTCCTTGTAGTCTGGCTTCTCCTGTCATCTTCCTGGTAGGTTTAGGTTTGTGAGTGATTTTTGTTGGGATATTTGTTACTGCTGTATGGTTAGGAAATGCTGGTACCATCCTCTTTTTCAGAAACCTGCTTATGCAAGGAGGATACAGTAGCCAAGGCCAGGAGAAAAGTGCTTTGCCCTGGGGGTAGCTCTTGGACAGACAGATTGTTCTGGCATTCACAAATCTTTATTGAAGCCCCTTTATGGAAAGCTTCTGCCTTTTAGCATCTGACCTGGCTTTCTAGGAGATAAAAAATGGTGCTGGCTAGGTGGGGGCAGGGTAGACCTCCCTGCTAGGACAGCAGTGCCAGCTCTGACTGTCTGCAGTGCCCTACACTGCCCCTTCAATCCCCGCCTTTCCTTCTGAAGAAAGGCTGGCTCCCAGAATGGACCTAGGGATGGATTTTAAAGGGAAAGAGGGTAGATTTGGATTAGATATAAGGAAGAAGTTCTTCCCTGTGAGAGTGGTGCAGCTCTGGCTCCCAGATTGCCCAGAGCAATTGTGACTGCCCCATCCCTGGAAGTGTACAAGGCCAGGGTGGACAGGGCTTGGAGCAACCTGGGACAGTGGAAGGTGTCCCTGCCCATGGAAGAAGGTGGGAATGAGATGAGCTTGGACGTCCTTTCCAACCCAGATCATTCTGTGACTATTTGAAGAGATGGGCTGCTAAGTCCTGAAGTTTTACATCTGCATTTACTGCTTAGATTTTTCTTTTTAAAACAACAGGGTTATTGCTGTTTCAGATGTTACTCATTAATGGGACTGAGTGATGTAAAAAGTAGTGATTTCCTAATGAGAGTCTTACTAACTAAAGAAGAAATAATGTACTGGCAGATACATTAACATGATAATTTTTGGGTTTGTTGCTTGGTGCCATATTGCTAAGGAGCATTTTTCTGAAACTTGTAATTTTAAATTTAACTTTTTAGTACCTGAACTACTCTAGTTAAGTCTTGAATATATTTTTGGATAAAATAGGAGGTTGAACATTGCTAAATATCAGCCAGTCCCACAAATGAGTGTTTGTGCTGGCATATTAATGTGTTCTCCCTTCTCCTGCCCAGGAGCTGCAGGCTGCCCTGGATGTGCAGTCGGTGCAGAATTGCCAGCTGCTCGTGTCCTTAGAGCACGAGAAGACAGTGACAGATAACCTCCGCAAGGAGCTGCAGATTGAGCACTCCCGCTGCGAAGCCTTGCTGTCCCAGGAACAGAACAAACTGCAGGAGCTACAGAAAAACCTGGATGCTGAGAAAAATCGTTCGTTGGAGCTCCTGGATTCCTTGAATCACGAGCGTGTTTTGACAGAGCAGTTGAGCATGAGAGTGAAGGAAGGTGCTTCCTGTCAGCACAGGGAGTCACTGCTGGAACAAGCTTTTGTCCGAGAGCTCCAAGCCCAGCTGGAAGAGGAGAGGGCCCGAACTACAGAGCTTGCTGCTGTTATTGAGAAAATGCACGAGAAGGCCATCCTGTCCAAGAGGCAGCTGGAGGCTGAGGTACAGATGTGCTGTGAGGAAACCCAGAAGGAGAGGGAGGTCAGTGACAAACTGCGAGCCACCCTGGAGTCTCTTCAGGCGCAAAAGCAAGAGGTGATCCGTTCCTTGGAGGCCCAGAGGGAGAGAGAGATCAAGCTGAAAGTTGACTGGGAGCAACTGCAGTCACTCTTCAAGCTGCTTAAAGAGCAAGATAAGAACAGGAAAGAGGAGAGGGAAAGAGAGCAGAAACAGCAGCAACAGACAGAGCTACAGAAACAGAAGGACTGGCACAGAGTTCAGGAGAGACTGGTGAGAATGCTCTATCGTACACTGAAATAGCCACACACTAGGATTTAACTCTCTGGATGGTGTTCTTCAATTGGAGTATTTCCTTCTGTTAAAGCATTCTGAAAAATGCATTAAATGAGCTCTTGTCCTGCTTTTCTGATATGTAGCTGTTTTCAAAGGATTGTGTCTGGGTTTACTGTTGGTGGAAATTGATCTTTAAAGTTTTGCCTGTGCTGGGAGTTGCTGGTTGTTCACAGGTGGGGATGAATATGGGTTAAATGGGAATGAGTTAATGGGAACCAAACTAGATTTCATGTCATTGCCCTTATTTTGAGCTAGGATCCAAATCAAGCCTTTAGGCAGTATTGGTTTCACCCTTGATTTCTCCTTAGATGGAGACAGTGCCCATTCCAGTGTCATTAAATGGCTTCCTGGTGGCCCTGGAAAGCAGGAAAGCCTTCCCCCAAAAGCAGTTAAGGAACACCAGATGTATATGCTAATTAGGTATGGTGACACATAAGTACATATATATAAGATGCAATTAACTACTACTTACTCTTTTCAAACAGCAAAACTTGGAACGGCAACACCAAAGGGATGAACAGAGAATTAAAGAATTGCAGGAAATACTGGCAGTATTAAAAGAAAGAGAAAGAAATCCTCCAGCTCCAAACTGTCAGGAGGAACTCTTGTGTAGCTCAAGCAAAGATGGAAGTGCCACACAGCCAGCAACAAAAGAAACTGAAAAACCCCACTTGCAGCAGCAGCAACAACAGCTGGAGAAGATAAGGCAGCAGTTGTTCTTTGTGGCTGTGCACCTGAATGAGTTCATTTATAAAACTCTGGATAAGTGAGTTTGTAAAATAGCACTTCGCTTTCTATCCTGCTTTTTGTGTGGGTCATGGCTAAGAGCCCTTAGTTCTTTTAATTTGTAAAAATTAACAGAAGTTGCTCATTTCTCTGTGTATGTGTAGTAATTTGTGTGGTAAACATTGCATAAGTAAAGCCTCAGAACTTTAAAGGCCACGTAGTGGGAAGAAGTAATTAAACATGTGTTAACATTCTTACAAATCAGCCTGATACTGAAATGGTATTTCTGCCTAAACAGAACGGTTAATGATTGGTCTGCATCAAATGATGAAGCTGTAGCCTCTTTACTGCAGACATTAAGGGAACTAAAATCAGATTTGTCTCCTCCTACATCTCAGGTAAGGAAAATATTAATGTATTTTAATGTCCAAATCTGTTTTGTTGTGTTGCAGAGTCTGCTTCTGAGAGCATTTTTTTTCCTAGATATGTAATGTTTCAAAGGATCACAAGCTTTAGGATGTGTTGCTGTATCTTCTTCATGCATTCAGAGACAGTTGTTTTTCACCAAAATGCCAAGAACTTTTCAAAAAACAAGTTCAAGAAGTGTTTTGTAATCTCAGGAGGGCTGTTCTGACCCAAGTTTGTGGTATTGCTAATATTTTACACAAGCCCAGAGATTACCAAAGATCAAGCTCAGGTCTACTGATAGAAAATACATAAAAGCATAACTTTTAGATGCCATCTGATTCCCCAAATAACTGCAGCTTTATGTCTTTCTCTTGCAACAGACAGAGATCTATGACTGTCTGATAAGTTAAAGGTTTTTGTATCTTCTGGTCACAAGTCTGGTGTGTGATAAGCTGCCTTGGCATGTTGCAGTTCTCCCTGTGTCTCCCTGCTTACAAAATAAAATATAGTTAATATTTTCCTTCTGTCACCTATGCAGCCACAGAGGTGGTTGCCAAATGGATCATCTCCAGCCTTGAGGAGGGAGATGCAGCCTCTTCTCCAAGTTCATGGGGTTATTTTGGTTAAGCCTTTCTCTCACAAACCTTTAGAGCTGTCAGCTGTCAACAAAACCTTTGTCGGAGCAGAGTTCCCTCCTTCAGGGATGGACCACACAAAAATCAAGGAGCTCAAGTTTCCTGACTTCAATTTTGTTTAACAAAAAAAGTGTTCAGTAGAGAACTTTAAAGACACATGCATTTCTAGAGCTTAGGAGCAAAAACTCCACCTCAATAGCTTTTCTTCTGTGGGCACAAACAGTCCCTCCTCTCTGCCTTCTTTTCAGGCCTTGATCTTTTTTTCTTCCAGACTCACCTTTTCCTTCAGTCTCCTTCCTGAATTTCTTCTTCCTTTAAGGTACTGAACCACGTGCTCAGGAGACCAAAGGAATTTTCTGCAGTTCCCACCTTGAGTTGCAATAAATGGGGGGAGTATTGGACAGGGAACCTGGCAAAATGTCAGCATGGAAAATCTGTGCCAAATTGAGCTGTCCCGTTAATCAGCTGCCAAGCAGTGCAGTAGAAGTCAAGGACATAGATGAGTCATGTAGAACTCCTTCAGATACTACAGATTGGACTGAAATAAGTTGCTAGGAGAAGCTGAGGTCAGTTGTTTGTACTGGCTTCTCTAATTTATAGATTTTACTTCAAGGGATAAAACATCAACTACCTTAAAAAAAAAAATCTATTTCTTTTTGTGATCTACTGCATCATGCACTGATGTAACTGATGACTGACCAGTAAATTTGTAGTTGATACAAAGAGGGTTATGAAGGCAGAACTTCATGAAGAATTGGAGCTGGAGTCCTGGGTCTCATTCCTACAAGAGATGACTTACCACAAAATTCAGTTTCACACAATCACAGCACAGTTTGGGCTGGAAGGGGACCTTAAAGCCCATCTCACTCCATCCCCTGCCATGGGCAGGGACACCTTCCACTATCCCAGGTTGCTCCAAGCCCTGACCAGCCTGACCTTGGACACTTCCAGGGATGGAGCAGCCACAGCTTTTCTGAACAACGGACTCTCAGAATTGAATGTGATTTTTCAGAATTTTTCACAACTTGTTTTTGATGTATGTGCAGCTTGTTTTTGCATGTACACAGAAATTTTCACTATTTCTGAATAATAGTGCTGCCTGTGGGTGTAGAAGAAAGTCAGATGAAAGTCAGAAGGACTTTTCATGCATTTCAGTTTCCCATTGTGCTGTTTAACACCTGAATGCCATTGCTGGTTTTCAGGCTCATTGTTATTATGTTTTAATTTGTCATAAAGTTGGGTTACTACTCAGTTTGAGATGTTTGATTGTGGAAGTAATGTGCAAAACCCATTGTGGCTCACTTCCTTTAGGTTTCTGTTTTAGATGAGATCTGCAGGTGATGCTGACCCTTTTCAAGAGCTGGAAAGAGAGGCTTGGCAACGGGAGAGGAACACGCTGCAGAACATGCTGAAACAGGCAGAATCCCAGCTGGCTAAAGCCAATGCTGAAATTGAAAACAAACCAGTGGCAGAAACTTCAAATCCTAAGGTAAAATCATGGGGACAAAGAGGGTCTGTGGAGCTTGGAGAGCCAGCAAACCACAGCCAGAGGAGGTAGCATTTCAGCCTCATCTGCTAGGGATAAAAAAGGGATCTGTCAGATTATGGTATTTATCTTTCACTGCTGTAATCTTTGGTTGCTATTTTAAAAGGTTGATTTTCTCGATGAACAGTTTGATATATTATTTTAAATTAGAAACTTTCCCCATATGTAACTCATCAGAGAAGTTCCTTTGGAACTTTCGAACATTGTTAGACAGGAACTTGCATCAAAAGTAATCTGGATCTTCAGAATTTCTTTCCACTGTTAAATGAGAGGGAGACTTAGATTTCTTGTCTAAGCATGAAAATAGAAAACACTCATTATTTTTAATCCTTGCTGACTAATCTTAAATACTTCTTATTTTTCTGACAGTTTGATTGTAATCAAATCTGATAGGCATCTCTCCCACCATGCTTCCTGGTTAATTTTTTTTTTCTGTTAAGCAGATGTATTTTCTTTATTAAAGAGTTAAACTGTTTTAGAGTTTTGAGTATGATAATTTTGCTTGAAAACATTCAGGAGATTTAAAGAGGTCTGACATTCCAAATCTGGGTGTGTTTTAGCAGTGTACAGAATTGTTTTGGCTGCCCTTGTGTCTTCAGTCTGGACATTTGACCTGAAGACACCTTGTTTGTGGTTTGTGGCTGGGTTCTTGCAATAGTAACTGTGGAAAAAATTGAACTTTTTGAATTTATTTTTTTTCTTTCTGCAGTTGCAGAGATTGTATCGGAAGTACATTCGAGCAGAGAGCTTTAGAAAGGCTCTAGTTTATCAGAAGAAATACCTCTTGCTGCTGCTTGGTGGGTTTCAGGACTGTGAGCAAGCAACTCTCTCTCTCATCGCCCGCATGGGAATCTATCCTTCTCCTGCAGACCTGCAGCTTTCTAGATCACGCTCCAGGCCTTTCACCAAGTTCAAGTGTGCAGTCAGAGCCATCATTGCCATCTCAAGGTAAAGCCAAAACACTCCCTGCCTCTTATATATGATGTTTTCTTGGAAACTTAAATAATTGATAGTTCCTGTGGCTTACCCTGCATTGATATTAAGAAGATGCAATCTCCAGAACTGTTTCAAGCATGACTTATTAGCTGAGTTTGATCTGCACTAAAGATTTGTAAAAAATATCTTTTAAGATGAAAGAGGGTAGGTTTACATGGGATATTGGGAAGAAATTTTTCCCTGTGAGGGTGGTGAGGCCCTGCCACAGGCTGCCCAGAGAAGCTGTGGCTGTTCCCATCCCTGGATGTGTTCAAAGCCTGGTTGGATGGGGCTTGGAGCAACCTGGTCTGGTGGAAGGTGTCCCTGCTCATGGCAGGAGATGGAACAAGGTGGCTTCTTCAGGATCCCTTCCAGCCCAAACCACTCCATAATTCTATGAAAAAGCTACTTGAGTGATACCCAGCTGCAATATATTTGGGAACAGCATTGCAAACTGAAGTCCTTTGGGGCTGACCCTTGTCTCCTTGGTCTCACTGGATAGTCTGTCTTGTATCAGAATGTGATCTGTCAGGAATGGTTCTCTCTGGAATCCAGGAGCATGTGTTTCATTGGGTGTGATTCTGTTGTGCTGTATTTCTATCAAATGGGTTTTGCTAGCTGTACATGAGACAACATGCCATCTCCCAGTAGCTTTAAGCCCACTTAATGAAAAATAAGCAGTTTTAAATGTAATAGGTGGTTATTTCTGAGTAATTTCGTTGACTAGTTAAAGTGACTCCTAGAAGGTTTCTATCAGGAGATGACACAGAGTCTGACATGAATACCATAATAGCAGCAAAGGCTGCAGGACCTCCAGACTCATGCAGTAACCTCCAAACTCCTCCTCTCAGGTAGGAAGAGCTCTCTGGAGATTAGGAGCAGAGCCAAAATATGCAAGTGTTCTCAGCAGTTCCAAGATCATTGCAGTGTAAAATAGGATAACCCAACATTCCAAAACTGAATTTGAAGAATTCTCCTGTCATTCCCACAACAATTATTGCTTATGTTGCTTAATAGGTTCTACACCAACAAATAATAATAAAATTTAATGTATTTCTTATTTTTAATGCTTGTACAAATTTGTTTTCTTACCAAGGTTAAAGTTTTTGGTGAGGAAGTGGAACAAAGTTGGCAGGAAGAGCACACAGAGTGAAAGCATTTCTCACAGTATAGGAGGTAACACAGGTATGTGTTTGGACAAGTACATTGTTTTCTTTGTAATTTCATTTCAGTGATGTGTTTCATTTAAAAACAAAACCCAAGTGGGAAAATCTGCTTATGTTGCCCCTATCCATCTGTAGAGTAGATAGATAGATGGTCTGATGCAGGTCAGGAGCACTTGAGTGTTCCTTTGAGTTACTGATGTGTGCCTTTGTAAGAATTTCCATGAACATCTTAATGTGGCACCCAATACTGAGGAACTGTTGTGCTTAATGTAAAATTCCATTACTTGTGCCTTTTCAATGCTTAACAAAATTCAGATCAAATAGTGTATTTTTCATTACCTGGTACTACGTAATTTTCACTGTTTCTAAGTTGCTGGTAATAATTATTTTTAAAAAGCATACCTTTGTACATATACCCACTGTGGTATGATTCCTAAGAAACTTGAATCCTTAAATGCTGAACTTTCTACCTCAATACAAAATAGCATCACAATTCTGTTAAATATGGTTAAAACAAAAATAAAAACAAACAACACAAACAAAAAAAAAAGCAGTTAGCTGTAGAAATTGTATTTACCTGCATTTAAAACCAAACTTAAGCATACTCTGCATCATTTTCATGGGTTTCTTGGATGTGTTTATGATATCTTGTTCTCAATGGTTCCTTTTTTAACCCTTCATATCTACCACAGCCTCTGGTGCTAGAACAGAAGTCCTGAGAGAGCAGCAGCCCCCAGCTGTTCCCATCAGCTCTCCCCCTACCCAGGACAGGAACACAGGGCTATGCCACAGACCCATCTGTGCTGCAAGATTGATGAGCCTCTCCCCACGGTCCTCCTCCCGCTCGCACAACAGGTCAGTCTGCCAAGATGGGAGATGTTTCCAATTATTGTAGGGTTGTTTTTTTTTTAACTTTGCTGAGTGTTTTGGGGAGACAGACTGTGCTTGTCCTAAACAACTAGGTAGTCTTCTGGTTTGCATGTAATTTAGCAAAACATTTTGGAGAGTTTGAGACCTGCAAGCACTTTCAGAAGACTTAATTTTACTCACCCTATTCCTCTGTCATGGCATGTGTCTGTCTCTGACAGCCCTGCTAAGAAAAGTCACCTGTATGATCTGGAACATGATATTAATATAAACTGGCTGGTGCTCAGTGTGACTGGATTGGTGGTGCCTCAGGTCTGATGTAGATCCAAGGTGTGCTAAATAATGCTTGTTGCTGCTCTTGTTTCCAGGAACAGCTATACAGATGGAAGGGGTGGTGGTGGTTCCAGTTTTCTTTGCCCAGAATTCCTGACTATATGAATGTATCTTCTGGATATATTTGAGAGTATATCATGAGAAGGAGAAAGTAATTTGTTTTCTTTTTAAGATTGCATCCGTCCCCAAGTTCAGCTCCAGAGAAGTCCCTTGTGCCACCTCAGGATCCTGAACAGTCACTCACAGAATATATCCATCGCTTGGAGGTGATTCAGCAAAGGCTGCGAGGAGTGCAGCCAGGTAAGAACCACCTTCTTACCCCTTACAGCTCCTGCAAGTCTGGGCTGCTTTTCACAAGGTTCTTTGTACACAGTGCCAATATAGAGCATCATTTTAAGGAATAATTATCATTATTGGGGGGTAACAACTAAATCAATCCCAGAAAGGAAACCTTTCTGAATCGTATCTAAAACTATTCCAAGTGTGGCATTTCTCTAAGGTAATAGTGACAGAGATAAGATTGAATAATTTCATGTGATTTTTGCCCCAGTCCTGTTCCCAAGTCTAAACAAATGTTGCAATTTAGATGAAACAGTTTATAGAGTTAATTTGCTTTAAAGTCAAACATAGCTATTGCAATAGTTGAGCATGGCTTTCTCTGCAGCACAAACTGTAGTGCTTCCCTTATTTATCCCTCCCTTATGTCCATAACAGATTTTAAAAAAATATTTGGAGGCTGGTAAATACAGCCATCTAGTTTTAAGATTTATCAAAGAGCACACAAAGGATTGTAGTGGCACTTAGCTTTGCTATTTAAAACAGTTCCACCAAATTTACTTCGTTTCCCTAGTCTAATTACCTCCTCTCGTTACACACTGATTATAGCAGAGAAAAACCTGGTCCTAAGGAGGAACTTGCAAACTGTCATCACATCATCCTGAAATCCTGAAGAGTTTGGGAACTTTGACAATTGTTCTCAGCAGGACTTTACCTAGAAACTTTATTACCATGACTTTGTGTATTTGTTTTGAGGGATTTTTCCCAAATACTGCAGCTGCATGGCTGATTCAGATAGATAAACAGATTTTAGACTTGAAACCTGTCAGCCTTTATGGAAGTAGCACATTTTGCTTCATTCCAAATGCAGAATAAGTACTCCAGGGCTGGGACACCATGAACAGCACTTTGTGAAAAGTGCATATAATTTCTATCATTTCCATGTTACCAGGACAATAATGTCCAGTCATTACAGAATGATGCTGCCATCTTTAGAACAGTGCTGTCAGCCAAGAGATGTCCCAGTTCCTAATGAGCTTTGGGACATCTATTCAGTGGCAAGACCTTGTCCAGCAATGTCCTTAAGAATCACCACAGGAATGGCAGAATTGAGCTGTCCCTGGGGGTAAAGCAGGCCTGTGATGGAGCACTGGTCACAGGCTATGAAGGTTTGCTTTGGCAGATGTTTAGGCTTTCAAATCCTGTTTGGGATTGTTCCTAGGTGGCTGATGAAAATTGGAATTGCTTCCAGTGTATAGTTCATATGAAGTGCTTTGAGGAAATATGCTGATAATTGTATGCTGTTGCTTCATAATACAAACAGTTTTCTAATACAGATTTTTTTTTTTTAATTTAGGGCAAGTACTAGCTTCACCTCATCAGAGAAACCTAAAAAAGTGATGGGAACGCTTATGAAATCTGTCCTGCAAGTTCGTGCTTCCTCTGAGTTGGTCCTCACTCAACAAAGGCACTTGCAATCTCCCATGCAACTGAATAAAGGGCAGTGCTTTTAGAGCAAATTTTTATATGACTCTTTTTATTATATTTTAGTACTTTAAGAGGGACTTACTTTTCACTAAGAACAATGTTTTACATTCTCATGTGAAATTAAGTCAACAGCTGAAGTGTGCCTGCATCGCTGTATTGTAAGCTGCAAAAAGTCTCTGTGGTGTTTATTTTTCTATAGTGTATAGCTGGATTCCTTGTAAAAAAAGTTATTAAAATGGCATTTTATTAGTGAATTCTTACATTGTGTGGTTGTTTATTTCTGCCTGTTTATTTGTTTTGCTGTCCTAGATTTGTTTAATATTTCTGTAGTATCATTCCAATTAAAGGAATAGCTCAAATACTCTCAAAAATTTAAAAGTTACCTGTAGCCTTCTGTGAATTTGGGGTTTGCTCTTCTGATTTTTCAGTATTTAAGTCCTCCCTCAGTCTCTCCTTTTTATTCTGGACACTTTTAGCTTCATTTTTCTAGTTCAAAAGGCCCATAATTTTGTTCAACTCTGCATTTTTGGCAAAATGTACTAAATGAAACATGTGAATTCTATCTACATGTAATGTAAGTGATCCTGCCTCTGTCTGGTATCTTGTTCTGTAGCTACCTTCAGGGGGCAGTTCCAAATGTGTATGAAGTTGCTGGTAGGAGAAGAGGAAAGAGATGCTCTGTTGGTACACCCATTTCCTATCACAATGTCTCAGTGAAAAAATTAGAGAGATTCAAGTATCATGCTGAGTAAGACTTTCCTGTGATATTTCTCTATTTCTTTAGAAAAGGCATAGGAAGAATTATAATGCCAGAATATTTTAAACCTCTGGACATGTGAAATCTCTGCCTTTGAAGCAGATGTGGTGTTGAACTTTGGAGCATGAGAAAAGTCTTTTCTGGAGGCAAATTGTTCTGCTGCAGCCTATTAAAATATTTTCTCTACTGGCTATTGAGAATTATATATTTGCATTCATCTGAGATTGTTTTATTACTTATTTAGCTGCTTTTGTCTTGGTAAACTCATATTTATCTGTCAGGTAGATCACAATTTGGTTCTCTGGAAAAAAAAAGTGGTAGTGATAGAGCTTGACACGTGTAAAGATTTATTACCCCCTGACAGCTATAGGAGAACCCCTGAACTGATTTGGCATAAATTTAAGAGAGCTGTGAACAAACAATACTTGATTTGGTGTAAAAGCTTAGCACAGCACAAGTTGATCCCCTTTTGGGAACAATGCATTCAGAACTGGCACTAAATCCAATATGTAATAGCACACTCACAGCTGGATGTTCCATGTTGAGTGTAAACAGGAGGGCTGTGAGACCTGAGGGCCTGTGCTCAGTTAGCCAGTCAGTATTGATTAAATTAACGCCTAGTTTTAAAATCTGGCACTTCTAGGTGGGCAATTAAAACTCCCCTTTAGTTTAAAGGACAGTTTAAAAGTTACTCTTTAAAGGACAGTTGGCACATCCTATGGGCATCAGTTCTGTTTCAAGGGAATTTGGCTTTGCATTAGCATATTTTTAAATCAATCTGCAGGGTTTTTTTTTATGTCCCAGAATATGCAGGGCTCTTCCCAAGCCTTGGCAGGACTTTGCATTCAGAGGAACTTTTCTGTGGCAGTCAGTGCTTCCCTCATCTCCTCTCTACATGTCCCTGCAGGAGTCCTCTTGGGTGGTCACTGTTTCCAGGAGCACAGGTGGGACATGGGGGTAAAGGGACAGATGCTGCAGCCTACGACTCAGAAAAGAAATCTGCAGAGAAGTTGATGCCTTGAGAGGATACCTAGAGCAGAGGCTAGACAATGTTAAAGGAATAAAGTAGGTATTTATTAAAAAGTCCTTGAAAGAATACACCTTGGGCAGTACAAGAGCCTGGCTGAGGCTACGCCCACGATGGACCACAGGTCCCATTTTAACACTTTTTAAAGTTTTACATTTACATATTGGGGTTAATTGTCCAAATACAGCTTCAGGTTTTGAAGTCCCATCCTCCCAGTTTGCTCTCCTCAGTTCCCTGTTTATACTTTTTGGGCTTGAAGCTGTAACGGTGTCCTTGGTTCTTGGGCTGTTAAAGGATTGTTTTGTCTAACTAAACCATGAGGGGCACTTGCTAACACTTCGTATGAAGTTCAGAGTTGTATGCTAATGCAGTACAAAATCTGGAAGATATGAGAGCTAAAACTTAAGGCATCAAAGGAATCCAACCCAATAGGATCTGAGCTACAGGTAATGTGTTCCCCATGACTATGTTCCCCTCAGCTTCCCAATACCCACAGACAGCTTTCTGAAGGGTAGTGGAAGCAGAAGTGTTTCTGCCCAGTGTAAGGAATGACATTTTAAGCAGTAATGGTTTTCCTAGTGCTGGTGTGGTGTGTCTGCCCTCAGAAGGGCAGCCACATGGGATACACTCTGTGTGATGTGCTGATCCCAGTAATGTGAATAGAGATCTTTGGAAGCCCTAACATGAATGCAATCATCCCAAACGAGTGGTGTTTTGGACAGAAGCAGTTGTCGGCAGACTACTCCCCAGATTTCCCTATGTTTTAGTTCTAGTAAAGTTGCCACTGGCAGAGCAGTTTGGGTGGTCAGGACCACTGGCAAGCTTCTGGATTTGCCTTTGCCCGAGCCTCTGGGAGGCTTCAGGAATGCCAGAACATCTGGCTTTGCTGCCCGGCCACACACTCACCCTAGAACCTGTAATTGAAATATATAGGATATATATATATATGTATGTATGTATGTATGTATGAATATAGGGGAAAAGCTACTGCCTCAACACAGCCTCCAAGCCAAACGCTTCCTGCTGCTCTCTGCTGCCCTTCCAGAGGTGGTTTGCTTTAGAAAAGACACGCTAATTTTTTTTCTTTATTTTATGCAGTCCCAGGCACCACTTGACATGCAGGCTCTCACAGTGGAATTCTGTGCCGTGAAAATGTCCATGCTCTATCCTGGAACACGCGGTGGGCTGGGTGGGCCCCGTGGGCTCAGGCTCGGTCACAGTTCCTACTTTCCTTTGGGAGGAAGANATCCTCTCGGCTGCACCGAGCGCTCGCGGCCCCTGCAGCCGGCGCCCCTCAGGAGCTCTTCCAAATGGGCAGTTAACTTGCAGCTGGATACTCTGGAAAGACATATCCGTTTAGTATCTTTTCCTAACTGTAGTTAAAACCTTGAATCTTTCCCTCTGTATCTGTCATTAATTTCTAACTTTTTTTGTGCTTCACTGTATATACAGCCAGGAATATGATCATGCTCGATCTGTTTTTATAGAACCTCATAGTCATAGAATGGTTCGGGTTGGAATCTTAAAGCTCGTTCAGTTCCGTTCTCCTGCCATGGGCAGGGACATCTTCACTAGACCAGGTTGTTCCAAGCCCCATCCAGCTTGTCCTTGGAACACTTCCAGTGATGGGACAGCTGCAGCTTCTCTGGCCAACCTCTGCCTGGGCCTCAGCACCTTCCCAGAGAAGAATTTCTTCCCATTGAGCCATCTAGCCCTGCCCTCTTGTCAGCAGGAAGCCATTCTCCCTTCTCTTGTCACTCCAGGCCCTTGTCCAAAGTCCCTCCAGCTTTCTTGGAGCCCTTTCAGGCACTGGAAGGGGCCCTGAGGTGTCCTTAGACTCTTCTCAGGCTGAAAACCCCCAGCTCTCCTTGGCTGTCTCCAGAGCAGAGGGGCTTCACCCTGTGCATTAGCGAGCCCAGAGGTGACACTGCAGTACCAGGCAGAGGGGCACTGTGACCATTTGATGGATTTTCAGCCCCATAAAGGAGACATCCCTTCCACCTCCAGGTCAGTGTTTGGTAACAGCCCTTTTGTGATCCCTGTGGGTGTTAGTAGAGGTATCTGTGTTAAAGAACTGGGAAAGGATTTTTTGCATGCTGATTCTCTGCTGTGGCCCATCCTGCAGACAGGCAGGTATAAGCACTTGGTACAGGAGGACATGCTGGGGTGGTGACTGAGGCAGCATGTTCTGTGAGCTGTTGCTCATTGCATTTTCCCCAGTTAACTGTCAAGCTGCACCCTTGAATAGAGGAGCTAAAAGCCTGTTAATACCATCTGTGGTTTTGGGATTAGGAGCATTCAGTGTGCTCCTTGCAGTTTTCAGATTTCAGCTGGGCAAAACTGGGCCTATTTCACCTAAAGGTGCTGCCTGATTCAGGTCAGAGTTTCGGAAGTTATTCACAGGTCTGCTGTCGTCATCTCCAGTGTGGAAGCTTTGGTGCAGAGGTAGGGGAAAAGTGTAGGACGGGTGACTGTTGTCCAAGTGTAACCTGTTGCTGCATGTCTGCTGGCACAGTCAGAAGCAGTACCTGGCATGCCCTGTTGCATGTGCTCGATGAGTTCCTGCGTGTGAGCTGGGACCGTGTGCTCCATGGCCGTGCTGGGTACAGTGGTTCTTCCTGTGTGCCTGCTGACATGTGCAGGGATATCCTGAGGCTGGCTCCTCTGCTGTGTAGTTCCTGACTGTGTGTTCGTTTAAGTGATAAAATACTTTTTTATAGCTGGATCTGCATATGTTAAACCCGTGAGATGCCTGAAGTGATTGCACATTGTCCCAGTGCTGTGGGTCTGATGTGGAATGTGTATTGCTGTGTAGCTGCTGGATTAATGGAGCGATTGGGTGAAGTGGTAATGTGAGCTTGAATTTCTTGATCACTCTGAAGACTTAGTTTATATGAGCTTAGATGTGACTCCTTTTCTGTCTTTCCTAAACTGGAAGACATTTGCAAGTAGTTCTTCAACATCTGGTAATATGTTACGTGCTCATATCCTGCCATTGCTTGACGTTTGTATGGGCAGCTTTTAATGGAGCCCTCCATCATTAATGCTCAAAACTTGCTTACTTGGAGAGGAAGGAATAGCAATCTAAGATTTCTTATGCTAAATATGCCTCAATTTAGAGAAGGTCAGTACTTGGGCGGATGTTCTCATCATCTGAGAGGAAGTGTGAAGGGAGAAAGAGAAAAGGAGAAACGTGAGAGCAAGTTCCTTTCTACTTTGTGTACTTTGTTAATTGAAATATTGTGTGTTGTGATGAGGCAGGAATAATGCCTGTTCTCTTTGATTACATTATTTTCACCTATAAAAAATAAGTCAGGAAGATGATTAATCTCCTCCTTTGGTTTTGCTTCAGATAATCATAGCAAATGTTGGGAAAAGTGTATGTATTGAGCTATAGAGAAGAATGGGGACATGAATACATTGGTGCTTTCTAAAGACAACTCAAAATCCTAAGCAGAGCATTCAGCTGAGAAGAA